TTTTTTTTTTAATTTTGTGGGGCCAAACATTTAAAATTTGTCCTCTACTGGAGCAATTCAGTCATTTGCATCTGCTACAAACAGTTTTGTTGGGATGTTTTTTGATGGTGAAAACTGCAGAAGTGCCCAAAAATTTTACAGAACTTAAATTGCTTCCCAAATAACAAAGCAAAGAAACTCCGAACAAAATCTGAGACAGTGGAGCAACACCACTGTAACACCACTAGAATTATAGATAATAATAATAATGATAGCTTTAAATGTTCTAGCCGCACTAACAGGAGTTTAAGAGGCAACATAAAAATAGATAGAATCAAACACAGTATGACTAGTGCTGCTTTTGATCCTCACTTACTATCATAATAAGCATATTTTTCTCTGGTGTCTCTCAATGTGTGCAGTCTTCAGGCTGAGCTGCTCACTGCCCAAGAGGCCTCACTTCGGGGAGGTGTCGGTGCTTGACCTGCTGCCTGGAGGCACCGCCCGCTTTCACTGCCACATGGGTTACCACCTGCAGGGGGAGCCGCTGCTCACCTGCCTCAACGCCTCCCTGCCAGTGTGGAGCGGCAAGGAGCCCAGCTGCAGGGGTGAGTGGGTGCAAATCTGAAGATTTTCAAAGTGATGCAAGACACCAGTCTCCCCACAGTTTGATATTGTTGAAAACGATGCATCAAATATGAATCTCCATGTGTATGAATACAACAACAACAAAACAATCTTGTCCTCCGAAGCTCTTTGTGGAGGCACAGTGAAGAATGCGACAGTAGGGAGGGTGCTGTCACCTTCTCCCCATCATGGGCCGAATGCCACCCTGGACCGATCCTGCTCCTGGTCCCTGGAGGCACCCAAGGACCAGAGGCTGCACCTCCATCTGGAGAGACTGGCTCTGGGACCAACTGACAGGTAGGAGCCCCTGTCTTGACATGAGTGACTGAATAGGCCGACTAAGTACAGGGCCTGGGGCTCCAGGAGTCAAGGAGCCTTTTCAGTAACCTGGAAAAGACATGCAGACCAACCAAAATCAAAGAGACAACAAGAGAGACACAGAATGACCCCAATTAGATACAAAATGACTACACAGAGATGCAAAGTGACCAGGAATATTCACAAAACAACTTTAAAAATATGCAAAACATATACAGGAAACACAGTTGGAGAAATGAAATGACTGCACACAACACAGCTATGTTGTTTTCATCACTGTATGTCTTCATTCTGTCGATCTAATGTTTAGGTAGTCTATTCTCACTTGGCTATTGTGGCATACAACTTGGCAATATATTGTAATATTAGGTCGAAATTACACATCAAAAGGTCAGGAAAGGTCATTTTACCTGAGACATACTTCTAAGTGCTCTTTGGCACTAAGGTTTGTTTGGGCCTAACCCAAAACATGATCATTCATCAGTGTCCATGCTCACATCCAAATCATTTTAGTTGTTCTTGGGGTAAACAGTTCTACAGTGACTCATGAGCATTGTGATGCACTCAGCAGAAAAAGAACCAGATATTTCCCCGAGGCACTGGTGAAGACCAAACTCAGAGCTAAAAGAAAGCGACTGTTTGACCAAGATTTAGCACGTTAGCAGAAGAACTTGATATTTTCCTCAGGTGGTGATAGGGACCAAACATAGAGCTAAAAGGAATGTGATTTCCGTAGATACAAACACAACTCAGAATGAACAATCATGATGTGTCACAACTGTCAGCTATGTAGATAAAAAACAACAGACCATATTGGCTTAAAAGTGGACGATTGTTGGGTTTAGTGTTTAGCGCATATGTCTGCAGCCCCCAAGTCAGCAAAAAGTCAGTAATAGATGAAGAGATGTGAGTTTTTATTAAATCGATTTCCCAAACAATATCCAGTAACTTTTGATCTTAGTTGGGGGTTTCAGCTTCTGGGTTTTCTTGTGGCTACAAGCAACATTGTTGTCATGTTGTGTTCCCTGCAGACACATCCCAACCTGGTTTTTTTGGAACACTTTGTCCTATTATGTCTTTTATTGATCAGTTTGGTTCTTCAGGTGGAACCCTATTAACAGTTTTCTCTTTCACTTCTACTCATTCACACAGTGTTTGTTTCCTGCAGGTTGGTGCTGTGGAGCGGGCTGGACGCTGGCTCTGTGGTGCTTTTCGACTCGGGTCGAGGTGGACAGATACCCTTCGAGGGAGTAATCAGCGAGGGTCCGGCTGTGAGGATCCAGTTCATCACTGATCAGCCCAACCACAACACAGGATTCAACATCCGCTACGAAGGTACAGACGTAGATCCAGTCAAACACTAAAATAAAACCTGAACTGCGTTTCTGCAGCACAGTTTAAACAAAGTACATGGACTGTTGAATTTCTATAATTACTGAATAATTATGTAAACAGACAAGACCATTGCTGAGTGTTTCTTTTTACATCGTGCACTGCCAAGTTGATTTTCGGCTGGATTGCCAGGAAGAGTTTGGGAGTTTTTGGCAATATCAGATTGCCGAGGGATGGAAATGTTCCTTCCAACATGTTTATCCTCATCAGTGCAGAGAAAACGACAATCCAACCGAAGAATCATGTTTCCAAAAGGAAACAGGATTTATGCACAATGTGTGGTTACAGATATTTGAGGAAGATACTAATATGTGTTATTTTGGCATTGTACAAAGGTGTCACAAATATATAAGAATAAAAATTGTGTTTAAAGAGACACTTTTTGCCTTAATTATTCAATGCACTGAGCATTGTTTTTCCTCCTCCAGCTTTCGAACGTGGCCACTGCTACGAGCCGTACCTCCAGAATGGAAACTTTACGACCTCAGACCCGTTGTATGGGGTTGGAGCTGTGGTTCAGTTCACCTGTGATGCGGGTCACTCTCTAGAACAAGGCCCTCCTGTTATCGAGTGCATCAGTGCTAGGGATCCGTATTGGAACGACACCGAGCCACTATGCAAAGGTAAAACTGACAGCTGAACACAGAGATGAAAATATGTTCATCTTTGGAATTTAAATTACTATTGTATGAGTACTGCAGGCTAGATTTACCAAACTCCACAAACCGGAATTGCTGTTTCAGTCTGATTATGCCGTGTACTATGTACCCTGAAATTAAATTAATGGGTTATCGAGTTCTGTTTAGTCTGGAATGTCACAGAGGTGGCTTTATTTTAAGCTGCTAGATCACCATGGTAACCTGCTCTGGAGGAGGTTCTGTTCAAAGTTTAGGATTAAAATCAGGTGTAAGAAGTGTCCCCCTTTGCCCAGTTCACTTCTTGATGGTTGTTTGTCAGTGAACGGCACATGATTGGTCCCTTTTGTGTGGAAGAGGACATTTTAGATGTTCATGTGAACAAACAAAGAAAATTTAATAACAGTTGTGGTGCTTATTATCTCTGACTGGGGTTTCAGGTTTTGTTGAGCCAGCTAACACAAAGAAAGCCTGGCTATGTCAAACTTGCCTAATGATACAACCCTGAGTGGGTGCATGTTTGTGAGATTTGATCACAGCGATAAACAACATTTGCTCATTCTTCAAGGAAATACCTTCAGAACAACAATGTGCCTGTTTCAATGGCACTTCATTGTGACCCAATCATGTCTTAACACAAGCCTACTTCGTTGTAGGCCTGAAACATGTTTATACTCCATATCTACAGTGAGTACGGAAAGTATTCAGACACCCTTAAATTTTTCACTCTTTGCTATATTACAGCCATTTACTAAAATCATTTAAGTTCATTTTTCCCTCATTAATGTATACACAGCACCAATTATTGACAGAAAAACACATAATTGTAGACATTTTTCCAGATTTATATAAAAAAAAGAAAAACTGAACAATCACATGGCCATAAGTATTTAGACCCTTTGCTGTGACACTTGTATATTTAACTCAGGTGCTGTCCATTACTTCTGATCATTCTTGAGGTGGTTCTACACCTTCACTGGAGTCCAGCTGTGTTTAATTATATTGATTGGACTTGATTAGGAAAGACACACAAGCAAAGTGACTCGGTGGTTAGCACCGTCGCCTCACAGCAAGAAGATCGCTGGTTCACGTCCCGGTTAGGGCGCCTGGGATCTTTCTGAGTTTGCATGTTCTCCCTGTGCAGTATGGGTTCTCTCCAGGTTCTCCAGCTTCCTCCCACAGTCCAAAAACATGTTGAGGTTTATTGGTGATTCTAAATTGTCCGTAGGTGTGAATGTGAGTGTGCTTGGTTGTCTGTCTCTAAGTGTAGCCCTGCAATAGACTGGTGACCTGTCCAGGGTGTCCCCTGCCTTCACCCTACATCAGCTGGGAAACACTCCAGCCCCCCATGACCCTAGTGAGGATTAAGCAGTGTGTGGATGATGGATGGATGGATGATTTTAGCAAATGGCTACAATACAACAAAGACTGAAAAATGTAAGGGGGTCTGAATACTTTCCATACCCACTGTACACGCCTTGCAATACTTAGATCCAAATCCAAATTCAAGTTTAAAGCAAACATCGTAAATATAACAGATTTTCTTGGTCATTAGATCCTGATAGATGCACTTTGTGTTTAAATTCAAATCTCTTCCTCTTGGTTTAATTGCCTTAAAAGTATTTTTTACAGTGAGGTGAAGCACATATGGGAAAAAAAAAAAAACTGCATGTCTTGAACTTTCCTGCAATGCTCATAGCTCTTCTATGAGACAAAATGTTGGTAAGAAAGAATAACTTTAAATTTGCATTGAATTTATCATAGTTGCAACCTGCATACAGCCCTGCATCAATTCACACACACATTACTCATTACACATATATGTTCATATTTGCCCACTCTACAGTAGGCTGCTGTGCGTAAACAGTTCACTGAATTTATTAATGACACTTATCAGGCACCTATTTTCATACAGCATTCCACCATCCCACAATCATGGTTCTGATATTTCAAAATTCCAGACAATCTCTACTACACGGTTATGAAAAGATACTCCTACTGTCAGCATTTTAGGGTGAAAACATAACAATTTTATGATATTTCGTCTTTGATGTCAATAATTTTTTATTTTTTTTAAAAAGAAGAAAAAAACATGCAAGGGTTATCATATCTAATGAGACGGATGAGTCATTCCATATAAAATGATCCAAATCTGAAAAACGTTCCCACCCGACTTTCTCAAAATCGGCTTTATGTACAATATCTTTCGTGTATTTAATGAATTCAAGTAATAAGTTACCTTGTGAGTATTTTTAGAATTACACACTGTTGAAGTAGAGGTGGGTTGAAATTTTTCTGCTTTTTAAGTTTTGCCATAATTTTTGAGCCTCACTATTTAATAAGTACCGGAGAAACACATTTACACAGCTTAGTTAAAAACTGCAACCAAATCCGTTTTAAATCCGTTCCACAATCTAAAGCCAAAATCTAATCTTTATTCAGCATGATTTCTTGTAAAACCTCCTTTGAGCATCAGTATCATGGGATATATCATGCAGCATCACTGCACCCATTATGTAGCCTCAGAATGACCAAGACAGGAGCTTGAAAGTACAGCTGGTGAAATGACCCTGACAACAGCCTCAGGTTCAAGGGTTAATCTGTCCCTGTCGTCTGTGCAGCTCAGTGTGGAGGAGACCTGACAGGTCCCGGAGGTGTGATTCTGTCTCCAAACTGGCCGGAGTGGTACGGAGAGGGAGAGGACTGCAGCTGGAGGATACATGTTGGCGAGGACAAACGGGTGCTGCTTGATGTACAACTGTGAGGAAAACACCAACACTCATGGACTTTCGCACATCAACGCTTGTTCTCTGATCAGAAGTTTGGCCTGAGCAGAAACCAAATGTTATCATTAAAAATGCATGTGGAGAGTTGTGAGTGTGGAGGCTCAGTGAGGGGTCCAGCTCCCCGCCTGGATGTTGCTATTGATATTTCTCTGTTCCTGCTCGTACTGAGCCATTAAATTCAAAACTCGCTAACATTGGAGAGCATGCTGATGACACTGCCGCTGCAGCGTTCACAAGTCTGTTGGTATTTTTTGCTCTCATCTTGATTTTGTACTGTCGCTCTGTTGATCCTGAACTCACATTTATGATGTTGAGGTGAATTGAGAACACAAAATGTAAATGTGACCAAGTTTGTTTGAGCTCTCAACTCATTCTGCATGATTATCTAAATGCTTTTTTCTTTCATGCTTAGTGTGTACAGTATAAATATGAAGGTCTCCAAAAAATAATCGATACACAGTACAGGATGGACATCTCGATAAGATACAATATAGACACACACAGTATGATGATAGTAATAAGTGAAACACTAGATATGTTTAGTCACAGATATCGACATTGCAAAGTCTTCTAAATGTGGAAAATAGTAATGTCACACAGAGTTCTTCTATATTTAAGAAATACTGATTTCTTAAAGTAGGAAATATTAATAATGCAGGTTTCAACACACTGATGTTATACCAGAGTGAAATAAATCAATAACAATGTGAGATTAAGGAAGTTAGATTTTACAGTTGTTCTCCAGAACCTGCACAGCCTCAGGGCATCATGGGAAATGTCTGTTCTCACCTGATCTAACAGCTGATTGGTTCAGATGCTGACTCGACAATATGCTAGAAACCTCTCACATGTCGTCCACTCTGAGTTTAATCGATCAGCCTTGAGACTTGCACAGGGAACAAGTCTTTACTTTTTTTTTTATCCCCTGAGCGAGGTTCTAAAGGAAGAATTCTTTTGGTCAGAACATGTACATGGCACCAGGATGCCTTAAAATAGCCCACAAGTTCCCGCATGTGCAACTAACATGCAAATGTTCCCAGCATTGCAACAACATGACTAAAGTCATTCACTGCACTGGCAGATCGGTGTCACTTTCTTCTATGATTTAAAATGGGTTTGACAAGTTTAACTCAATTCCCTGGCAGCATTAATCCAATTACACACTTTGATGGAAGTATGTCACCTCATATTTAGAGATATTTCAGTTTTCAAAACTTCTTCTTTGAGAAGCCTCTGTGGTGAAACAAACAGGTCCGGGGCAACAACAACATGACTGTGTTTACAGACCATTAAACACGAATACAGCATTTAGCCTCTGTGGTTGTCTCGTCTCCCACACAGTCGGCTGTCGGCACTTGAGTCATCACAACTTATCCCGATCTGATTGCGGCGTCTTTACCTCGCTGTCCGTCTGTTTCTCTGTCTCAGATTGAACATCAGCGACAGCGACATGTTGACCATCACTGACGGAGACGAGGTCACAACTCGCATCCTGGGCCGCTACATCGGAGGCAGCAATCCCTTCAAGCTCTCGTCCACCACCCCTGACCTGACCGTCACCTTCCACTCTGACCCAGCGGGGCTTGTCTTTGGCAAGGGCGAGGGCTTCATCATCAACTACATGGGTGAGAGTGGCGGTTCAGTGGCCTTATTGAGTTAAAACATAAGGAACTAAGTGCTCAAAGTGCTGCAAACATCAACACTATGCTGTGAAAGTTGAGTGACATTCAGTATTGTCAACAACAACAACAACAGTCTTGTGTGTTTCTAACTACTGTCCTTCTGTGTGGTGTTGGTTACTCATGAAGACAACATGACACTCTGCAGCTCCTCTCTCACAAGAAACTATATGAATATCACATGGGAAAATATTCAACAGAAAACAAGCACATTTATCAAAGAGTAGCCCATGCGTCATCAGAAATATCTGAATCACCAACAGCAGCTGCTGCTTTCTGTTTAGTTTTAGGCAATTAGGTCTGTATTCACGAAAGAAAATCTCAGTGGACTGAAACCACAGCTTCACTAAGTTCACTGACTGCACTCCACCTGCAGCCTTATTAGTCTAAATAGATTCTAAGTCAACATAAAAAGTGAGTATTTGCAGCATTTTATTATTCGTCATTAATTGGGCCGAATATCCAGAGATCAGAAATTGCTATTCGGACCATCCATCCATCCATCATCTCTACACCGCTTAATCCTCACTAGGGTCGTGGGGGGGTTGGAGCCTATTCCAGCTGACTTAGGGCGAAGGCAGGAGACACCTGGGACAAGTCGCCAGTCTATTGCAGGGCTACATTTAGAGACAGACAACCATGCACACTCACATTCACACCTATGGACAATTTAGAATCACCAATTAACCTCAACATATTTTTGGACTGTGTGGGAGGAAGCCGGAGAACCTGGAGAGAACCCACGCTGCACGGGGAGAACATGCAAACTCCACACAGAAAGATCCTGGTGCCCCCACCAGTACGCAAACCGGCAACCGTCACTGCAAAAAAGGATTTTTAAGAAAATAAAAAAGTCTTGTTTCTGGAAAATTGTTCTTATTTTTTATCTAAAAAGTAAAATAATCTTGACAAGCAAGTTTTTGCTTAAGAAAATTTGTCTAATTTTAAGAAAATATATCTAACTTTTTCTTAATAAGATTTTACAGCTAATATTGAGCTAGAATTACTAGTAACAAGCAACAATGTCGTGGTTCAAATGGTTCACATTAAATCCCACCAGAGAAATAAGATTGTTTTTCTTATTTTACGAGTAAGACAAATTGCTAAAGCTCTTAATTTAAGAAACTGCATCAATTGTAGTTTGAATTCATCTGTTTGCTGCTGGATTTTTTTTTGACACTGGCAACTAGAATGTTGCTCAATTATTGTTATGCTGTTAGAAGAGGATTAGGGCATATACACTTTTTGTTCAGGTGCCCCTATAGCTTTAGCTTACCTGGTTGAGTGGGCGGCGCGTGAACAGCGCTGTAGTTTTTCCGGCGCGGCGTTCGTGAGTTCAATTCCCGCTCATGACAGTTTGCTGCAAGGTCTCTACCCATTCTTCTCCCCCCTTTCCTGTCTCACTCTCTCACTGTCCTGACTGTCCTAAAGGCAAAATGCCAGAAAAAAAAAAAAAGCTTAAAAATGTTCTGTTTTAAGAAAATCCATCTCATTGTAAGCTTTTTTTTTTTACTAACTGGAAACCTTAATTAAGGTGTAAATTCTTAATTTAAGTCAAACAGTCTTAAAGTCAGCTTAATCAACAAATCAGAACACTTATTTTAAGAAAATATTTCTTACATAACAGTTTCTTTGCTTGTAATAGGCAAACATTTCTCACATTTTAGCCTATTTTTTCCTAGTTTTAATACATATTATGGTCTTAAAGTGGCTAGATATATAGGCTAGTTTTAAGAATTCTAGCCAAGTAAATTTTGCTTACTCCATTGGCCGATTTTTTTTGCTCAAAACAAGAAAATTTGACCAGATTTAAGAATATTTGCTTATTTCAAGTAGGGCTGTTTTTGCAGTGTTCTTGCTGCAAGGCGACAGTGCTACCAACTGCGCCACCTTGCATCCCTGCTATTCGGACCAGCCCTACATATTCATGATTCCTGAAAATTAGAAATATATCAGTGGATAATCCCAGAACTACTAAGGAACATTACAGACAAGTTGCTGTTTTCAGATGATCTGCAGTGTTGGTTGTTGAGCTGTGATGCTTTGTCTTAAAAAATTGTTTTAAGCAACCAATCAGTTGACAAATTAGTCAGGAAATCGATGAATTGATCAGCTGCAGATGTAGCACAACTATCCTCAAATGTCTTTCCTATATGACCTTTGTGTATCCACGAATGTCATTGACTCTGTCAATGGCGAGTTGCTTTTTTGTCTGTTTGAATGAAATGCAGCCACACCAACGACTTCTTTGACATCAGTAATTTTGGACCCGACTCTGAGTAAACATTTCAGTAAACTTTAAATAAGTCAGACCGAGCAGTACAGAGGTGTTCGCAGGTAGTCTGTTCCTCCTGCTGCCAAAAATAACGGAGAGCATATCGACTGAACGTCCACCTGGAGACTGCAGCTCCAACAACACCACTGTTGATAACGCTGTCAATACAAGGCGTATGTAACTAATAAATACAAGAAATATGACCTTGTACTGTACATTATGAAGAGAGGCTGTTTGAACAACACATGCTGCTGCAAACAAAGTCCTATAAGGTTTCATAGTTAAATATAATATTTTTTTACCTATTTAGCAACAACAGATTTGGGCAACAACAGGACTTTCATAAATGACTCTTAACATCAGCTGCTCCAGCTGTGTTAGGCCTCAGTTACTAATGAGAATTATGATCCTAAAAAGAAATCTCAGCTGCTCTAAAATAAATCCAAACTGCAGGAGGCAAAAAAGAAGAACACCCCAATGTGAGAGTACAGCCCTCCTCCTGCAGCTCTCCTCTCTCTGTAGGAAGCTCCTCCATGAGATGAGCACAAGCATGTAAATGCACTTCACTGTAAATCTGCCTAAGAAACAATTCATTGAGATATTACAGAAGATAGCGGTTTACCTTACTAGGAGAAGACCAACAACTATTTGCAGTTGTGAAATTCTCTTACTTCACTGAGACTGTGTTACAATGCCGTTATTGTCAGGCTCTCGGCCTAGATAATGCCACATGTCTCTGGGTCCTGGACTTTCTGACTGAAAGACCCCAGTCTGTCCGAGTCAGAAAGAACATCCCCAACTCCATCACGCTGAGCACTGGATCTCCTCAAGGCTGTGTACTCAGTCCACTGTTGTTTACAATACTAACACATGACTGTGCAGCCACACATGAGGGGATCCAGATCATCAAGTTTACTGATGATGCCACAGTAGTGGGACTTATTTGCGAAAAAAAGAATCAATGCACAGAGATGAAGTGAAACACCAAGAGGGTTGGTGCAGTAAGAAAAATCTGCTGCTTAATCTGGACAAGACGAAGGAGATGATCATCAACTTCTGAAGGTCACGTCCTGAGCATGCTCCCCTCACATCAGCGACTGCACAGTGGAGAGAGTGGAGAACATCAAGTTCCTCTGAGTGCAGATCTTGCAAGACCTGAGCAGGCATAAGAACACAATAGTGATCATCAAACGGTCCCAGCAGAGACTACATTTCCTGAGAAAGCTGAAACAAGCCTCTCCCCCTGCCAGCATCCTTAGGACTTTTTACAGAGGTGTGTTGGAGAGCGTTCTGACATACTGCATCTCAACATGGTACTCCAGCTGTAGTATGTCAGACAGAAAAACCCTGCAGAGGATAGTTAGGAGGTGAGAGGGTCATCAGTTTCCCTCACCTCTGTCCAAGAACTTTTCTAGAGCTGCTGCAGGAGCAGGGCACTGATAATTGCCAGGGACTCCTCACACCCTCTCCATAAGCTGTTTGAACTGCTACCATCAGGCAAACGTTTCCGGTGCATTAAAGGAAGAACCTCCCGAATGATCAACAGCTTCATTCCACAAGCTGTCAGAATGCTGAACTGCTGATCTAGAAATGCAAACACTTGTTTATTTAAATTGCTTTAAGTTATCGGATTCTGAAGAAATGCTCCTTCATCTTGCCTGTACTACTGTTGTATGTACAGCAAAATGACAATAAACTTGATTTGAGATATATATATATATATATATATATATATATATATAAATAAATTGTAAAGGTCAAAAACTAAAAAAAACTTTTTTTAAAAAACACTAAAAATAGCTACAGACATCTGTAAAGTTAGATTTTACTAGTACAGTGAAACAGGGTAATAAAACAAAGAATGACTTACTATTTGTAAAAACACAGATTTTTGATGAGGACATTATATTTTGACGAGCATTGTTTTTGTTTAATTTTTTTTTTTAATTTATTACTATAATATATAGCGTAATTTCAAATTTAAACATGTAAATTAATACTTTTTTTCAGTGATTTTACTAGATGTTATCTGTAAAATAACAAAAGCTTATGTGATGAAGATTACTCACCACTTACCAGTAAATATCAGTTTTTTGTTTCTCAGTTGTATTTTTTTTTCTTGTTAGATTTATTCGCTAAAGAATAGTGTAATTTCAAATGTTAACATGTAAATTCATACTTTCTTTCTGCGATCTCACAAGTTTTTATCTGTAATTTACCAGAACAGGGAACATTTGTAAAGTAACAAACTGTAAACTGTTTAAAATATTACAGTTGAGAACTGTTTAATATAAACTTTTATTTCTCACAGTGTACAGCTCTAAATGTCTCTAAATCTAAATTAATCAGCAGCTAAAAGTAGCCCCAAACAAATTCTTCCTTTTTGAGTACTGCTTGTTAACATCAATAGCGCCCGTTTATCTTAGAAAGTAACTGAGCCCTTTTTCTTTGCAAATGAAACTATATACTGTATTTATGTCCTGTTTTTAAACATTTACACATTCAGGAGGAACCGGTGGCTCAGAGCCACAGCACGGAGGAACGGAAGCCAGAAAGTATTAAAAAGATGGACTAACATGTTGTTGGTTGGTTCTGATCTTTTAATGAGATTTGTTGACAATAAGAAAATGTAAAATAACACCAGCATTATCCTTTGAATTGATGTGGAGAT